GGGAATTATAGTGGTGACCCTGAAACAAACCCAGGTCCTGGTAATATACAAACACTGAATTAACAAAGAAGTCAAGTTGTTATTAAAGGTACATCAAGGTTTACTCAGATTTATGAATGCAGTTTCTTGAGCATGTTATACATGTATGAGACATAGTTTGGTTGCACTTGTGTACTCTGAGATTTTGGACTTGGGTCAATGGAAGTTATCAGTACAATACTAGATTAAGGGAAATCACTTATGATGAGTTATACCCACACTCCATGGGAAGGCTGGATCTACTGGCTGAGGTTCATTAACTAATAAATGCGACTTTAGGAGGAACCTTGGTCTACAGGTGCTTGTATTCGACTGGGCCTGGTAGCACATTCAAATGTTATTTGACAGAGGGATGTATGGTAGTCCCAAATATAAATATAGTCTTTCTGGCAAAATGCACTACCGGTATATGTCAGTACTTGCACTTCAAATTTGAACATAAATTTAAGTCTTCTCACATAATAATATGTTTATAAAAAAGGGCATGTTTGATTGGAGGCTGTGTATTTCTGATCAGGAATTTTTTTAAACAAGGGAACAAGGACGTAGTGCCCTCATGCCATGGCTATGCGCCCCCTTACCCTGGGGAGCAGATCCTCTGGCAACCATAAAATTCTTCAACTGTGACCTGTCTGATAGCAAGTTTTGTGGCGCCGCTGAACTGCAGTGCTCTTGCAGTTTTTTTCTAGAAAAACCCCTGCAGTACACTATGTATAATTTGTGTCTGCCATTGCTTATTTTAAATTTCGTTCGAAAATGGTACTGTCACTTGTTGCTTATACACTAATGATGTATGGTTGATTGTTTTTTTGCAAGTTTCTCATTTTGCTTAATATGCTTCTATTATTTGTTCTGGTTAACACTTCATCTGTCTCATTGAGTGTATCCGAGCGATACGTATAGATGATAATCGCCTCATAGGAGATCATAAGCAAAAGGGGCACATCTAGATTCTAATGAGGATAGCCATAACACATTTTAAGGAGTTTGATTTAGAATAAGTCTGCAGTTTGTCTGCTAATGATATATATTTTTGGTATATCTATTTTAGTGTGAAAATGTGGTTGTTTGAATGAACAATATTAGCAAGTTGAGCATTTTTTTAGGCAAACTGTTTCCACCATGATTAATATTATGGTCTTGATGCAGAAAGCATTCGACATTGCATGTATTTTATATATATGTTCATTGTTCTATTGTATAGTTTTTATTCACATTGTTATGATACATGTTCAAGGGATTATGCAGATAATTGTACTGCGAAAAAATTTTTACTTTTGACTATTCCACAAAAGATTTCAGTTTTATAGAGTATAGAGTATATAGTATATACTTGTAGAAAAAATCACTGCAATTAGGTGTTATGATGAACTTTTCCTTTTATATTATTTGTAGGGAAAGAGATAAACTGCAGAGAGCAATTGATGAAAGGAATCGGCAAAAAATGATAGTAAGTTTTTACGTCTGTTTTCAAGCATCAAATGTAGATCAGTAAAAGAATGCAACATGCTCTGTGTGAGTCACTTTACTAATTACAATTACATGGTCAGATATATGTACCAAATATTTACAAATAACACATGGTTACAGGAACAAAGGAAGATCGTGGAAATGCAGCGACAGATACAGAAAAAAGATGCAGAGTTGCAAGTTAAAAATAAACAGATTGAACATGAAAAGAAAAAACAAGTAAGTATTATGTTAAATTTTGATTTGTTTCTCACATAGCATGTCTGATGCAAGTCTGTAAACTTTTCTGTTTCCATTAGAATTCAGATTGATATTGATGACATCTCACTCCTTGCATGTCTATTGTAAGCACATGTTGACCTTGGAAATGCCAAATATAATAACAAAACACAGGTTTTCTGGCACAGTGTCATATTTTGTACATGAATTCATTAATTTTTGTATAATGACCACCTGTCTATAAAAGACAGTTTCATTCAAGACCTTGTGTGATCGCTATAAACATTTATGTTGACTGTCAGTATTACACTTTGCAATTATTCCACATTGCAAAATGGTATAATATATTGCATTGTGAACATACATTTTGTAATTTGCTATTAAACAAAATGTTTTTGTTTGTTTCAACTAGCTGTGGGTCCATAGCTCTTCTTGTGTCAGTCTTTAGTCTTTGTATTTTAGTAATTTCCTGATATATTTTGTGTCATTAAATGTTATTTTCAGATATTAAGATTTTTATCAATGCAGAAGAGCTTATAGTTCCTCTCATAAGATTGCGTAACACAAACACGCAATGCCAAATGGCATATAGCACGCAATAGAAACTACCACCAATAAATAGTATGTGTATAAAACATTCACTAGTGTGAAAACCATAACAAATTATCTGTATGAAGTTGTATTCCCAGGAATTAGCTCGCTCGTAAGTAACTCTAATGGCAGCCATATTCTTGAGGTATAATATATTGCATTGTGAACATACATTTTGTAATTTGCTATTGAACAAAATGTTTTTGTTTGATTCAACTAGCTGTGGGTCCATAAAAAAAGAGGACAAAATTACTTAGCTAAGTAGACTCCGACAAGTAGTTTACTTTACAAGAGTATCCAACATATTATCAAGAATATCTTTTCCAGTTGTCATATTGCCACCGGAGTTGTGTGTGGTTTGGAGCATAAATCTGGGGGGAAAAAACTAATGGTCTTTGTCATGGTTTTGGTGAGAGGTTAATAAAAATTATTATCGATTGGCTTTGATGGTGTGATGTAAGAAAAACATGTTGAAAAAGCGACACACAATTTTAGCGAATGGTGGTAAAATGACATAATAGCGAAATGTTGATTTAGCGAATCTTCATTGTCATTGTTGATTTCCTGTTTTCACAATACTTGTCTGTCACATGCCAAAACAAATGCGCAGTTATCACCTCCATAAAAACAAAGAAAAACAGTCAAGTGTAATTAGGAAGCGCTCCAGATTTTTATGTTCCGGATTACTGTATACAAATCCCCAAGCCCTGGCCATTTTGAATTTATAATAAAGTCATTATCGACATCTTGAATTAACAAATCAGTTCTCTCGCTAAATTCGCTAAAAAGACGTGTTTTACAGTATTCTGCTTTTGTCGACTTTTATTTGCGATGCCATTTGGCGTCGCACGTTTGTGCTATGCAAGTCTATAGGAGGAACCGTAGCTCTTCTGTGTAGATAAAAATGTCTGAAAATAACAAAAGTATCAGAAATGACAAAAGCACCATCATAATGACTAAAGACTGGCACAAGAAGAGCTGTAGACCCATGCCTAGATTTAACATGTATTAGAAAAATAGACGTATCCATTATTGTATTACAGTATCATTATTGTTTTGATTTTGAATTTAATGTCAAGAAAGTCATTTTTTGGTAGAACAAAGCTGTTTTATAGATTCCCTTTCCCCTCCTATTCACATCACTTGCTTGGATCTGAATGTGTGGTTATTAAATTTATTCTTTCCTTAATCAAAAGTTATTAGTCAAAGCGAGAGGACTTCTTACACCAGATGAGCTTAGATTTCGTGAAAATATGGAAAAACAAACGCAATTGCTGATGCAACAGCTTGAGAAACAGCGCGAGGAACTAGCAAGGCAGCAAGAAAAGATAAGACAGCAGCAGATGAATGGTAAACAGGTGAGCCAATCATAAATACATATGTCTAAAAGTATGATTACTTGCTGCATTCTTAAGGGTGTGTTATGCACAGCACATAACATTCAATATCATGGTCCTTGTATCATCACCTTTGCACTGTAAGCCAGTGTTTTGTCGATAAAACTATTTATTTAACTGAATATCTGTTTCTTTGGCATTGATTTAGACAGATTCATCTTCATTTAAACCAGAACAACTAATAATTTATGTTCAGAAATCATATTCATAGTTGATCTCTTTGACATTTTGAACATCAATGACAAATTTGTTTATTATTCAAGTGGCAATAGCTGTAACTATTGATATTCTATCTCCAATTTTTATTTTCAATTACACATTTCCTGTGCAAATAATATGAAAGCATAGCATATATAGGGCTCCAGATCTATTGAAATTCAGTTTTCTCAAGCAAACCTTGGAGAATTACAGTGCAAGATGACAACTGGCTGACTGGCAGCCATTTTTAGTCTCTGTTCAGGTGTAGCCTGAATCGTGACTATTATTTCTTATTTCTGGTTTTCCTCCAACCTCCCCACTTTATGTATCCAACATTTCCTCAGAAATTCTGCTTCAGATATCAAGGGAAATCACTTTATGATGAGTTGTACCCATATAGAGTACATATTAATTCAGATGTTTCATGTATTATTTTAACATGAGTATTTTATAATTAAATAACGAGAGGTATTGTGTTTTAATGAATGCGGTTCTAGTACCATATCTCTGCCATCCTTTGACTGACTGTGTTCACATTTCAAATATTTATTATACATCATTTCATAGATATACAGATCGATTGATTTGGCGATCTCATTCAAAATTTCCAAATGGTGGCCATTTTTGTGCTAAAAAATCAAGCATTTCCGGCATTCCGAAACTGGATTTCTTCCGTTTACGGATAAATTTCGTTCAAACTTGGTACATACATTAGATATCATGTGTCCCAGATTCACATCATTTTGTTTTTTGCATCGGATTCAAAATGGCTGACTGGTGGCCATTTTGTTTTAATGAATGCAGTTCTAGAGCCATCTCTGACAAGCCTTGACTGATGTTCAGATTTGATATATTGATCATGCATCATTTCATAGATATACAGATGTATTGGTTTGATGATTCGATTCAAAATGGCCGACCGGTGCCCTTTTTTTTTTAGTTAATGCTGTTCCTAGAGCAATATCTCTCAATATGGAATAGTACTCATACTATATTACTATAAACAAATATATCTGATAACTAACTGGGACTGTGCCATGCATGGCTTGTGTGCCAACTAATTTCAAATGGAACTACTGGACCCTTAGTTTTTACATTACTTTTTATGCGACATTAGCTTCATGTAGGGTAACTTTTCCCATTAAATTGTCTAGAACAGTATTTCGGTAAGTGATCTTTACATAGTTATTTTTAAACAAAAAAATGTTCAAAATCACAGCTATGTTGCTTTCACAAAATAAATCTATATAACCCTTTGATCTAGACATGTTGTGTATTTAGTCCAAAATTAACAAATTGTGAGATGTTAACAAGTTACACCAAAATGAGAAAAATGATGGCATCGAAGGGGTTATAGTTAATACTTGCACCTTATTTTAAATTAAGGGTTAACATTTTGTGAAACTCAGTTTATTGATTTCTATTTGTCAAAGATTAAATTTAAAACTTAAAATTGTTATCAGGAGTACTTGAGCGAACAAATTTTTTTCGTGCAAATTTTTGAGGCTTACTTTATCTTAATCACATAGGTTGCAAGACAAGTTGATTCCAAACCTGTTGGTCTTACACCGGTTGCAGGCACAAGGTAAGATGTTTATTCATTTTATAACATCTCATTTTGTGAAAGAAACCTTGTATTCTATATTCACTCAGTTTTACTTTACATTAGCACATTTAGCTGTCTATGAGAAAGGTTAAAAATAAATCCAAGCGCATAATAAATGATATAAGTAACATAAAAGCTATATGTACATGTACAATGCTTTGCTACCATGCAAATAATTGAGTTTTCAGGTCTGAGTCTGTCTTTCTCCCCTAAAATGGCAACCTATTGCACATTTAGTGTTTTGTTTTTAATTGAAAAAAAGGTAATACTCTTTCAACTCAATTCTTAACATCGCCATGGTTTGATTTAATTTTTAGTAAATCGTCGTACATTGTTACCAAACCACTACTCAAAAGAACACCAACACCAATTAACAATACCACTGCTGCTGGAATACCAGATATGAAAAGAATCAAACGAGAACCAGGAACACAAGATTGTGTAATTGTGATTGATGACGATGAGGATTCCCTCTCCAATTGTGCAAGTTCTTCCCCTGCTAATAGGAAAACAGTATGCACTAGCGTTAACAGTACGCAGACAGACACAGTGGAAATAAAAACTAGCATTCCAGATGACTCTATACAGAAACTATCATCGCTGGAACAGCAGCAGGTGTTAATGCAGAAATCTAGGGAGCTTGGACAACTGAGGAGGAATGTTGCAAAACTTTTACAGGTTCTTGTGCCGGAGTTGGACTTGGCCGACAATGATATTGACATTGAGAGTAATGAAATGGATGAACTTTTACGACAGGTTTTAGATGCAAATAAAACCAACTGACATCATTAGAATACATATAGATTTGTGCTCAGCTTATACACCTGTGTAATATATAAAAGTTATAAAATGAACATTTATACAGCATTTTTATCCAATTCCAGCAATCGTGTGTGGTATATTACCACTTTTTTTGTACGGTTGTTTTTTATATAGATACAAAAATGTAGGCAGTACACAAAACGTCAATATCTCACTCACAAATCAAGATATAAAAACACCATCTATTATCATTGCAACCCTATTAACAGTATAATTTCAGAAAAGCAATTTCTAGCTTCTCTTCAAGGTAGGTAAGGCCTAGAATGTTTTTACCATTATACATTTTCCACACTTGAGAGCGTTTATAAGAACACATTTCTGTGAAAGTAGCTGTGACTTACTGGGTTTTTGTAGCTTTTACTCGCAAAAAATTGAATATTCATTCCTTGTGAAATTAGATTGACTTATTGTTATGGAAAGTGTAAAAAGATTTATGACACATTTGTCTTTTTAGCTTTTTATAGCTGCTTTAGATATAAAGTGGCATCCATATAGCTGCTATATTTTTAAAGCAGTCTTTTTAGAAAATTTGTCCTATTTTGGAAGTAGAATGGCAATTGTAATAACATACAACATTTTCTTGCAACATTTACAGTGAAAGGCATGAAGCTGATTGACCAATCCGGAAATGATACAGCGTCATCTTTGCAAATTTAAATTATTATTGATAGATAGTTAAACATCTTCCAATCAACAAGCCCTTTATTTTGAATAGTGGGTGATGGAAGTTATGTCACTTAATATACTTAATATTCACAAAATATTTTTTTAAAGGCTTTAACATAAACAGTAATCAGGTCATGAACTAAATTCCTATTTTGTGAGTTATCCTGACAAATTGCCAATCACAAACTGTTATTTATCTAAACAACCTAAAATTTTGCCATTGCCACGAAACTCAACCCAAACTTTCAGGTTCGTACTGTGCAAATACTTTAACCCCAAGGCAAACCTAATATTCCTTCAGAACTGTTCTAATCATGTCTTATACATGTAAAAATGACGATCCTTTAAAGAAAATGGTCAGTGTTGTATAGAAGTGCATGTTTTATGAAAGAACCGCAACTCTACCTTGTTTTTAAAATATCTTGAATTGTCAGGTTACTGCTTTTTTGGTATTCTTTGTTGCAAAAGTATGATGGTCAATTTTGATGAAGTAAGGGTTCTTAACTTTAAATATATTGCCTTTCCGAAAGACAAAACTATAAAAACAGAAAATTCAAGTTCAAAATAAAATTGCGCATTTCACATGATATGCAAGATCTCGCTCATATCTTGAAAATACCCATTGCCATGTGGGAAATGTACATGTTTAAAATACCGCTTTTTTTTAGCCATGTTTAGATTTGTTATTTCTTCTTTGAACATTTGTTTTATGCATGTTCTCTTCAAGGGCTATGAATAATTAAAATATGCACATAGCAAACAGTCTTTATAGTTTAAGGCATGGGCATAGTTGATTTGCCAAAATAGCACTGTGTTGTTTTTAATTGGGGGGGGGGGGGGTTAATGTAAAATGAGGAGATGCTCAGTTTTTAATATCCATTGACCTGTAGTTCAGTTTGTGTGTGAACTCATTAGCCTTTTTCTCTGTGTCTTGCAGTGTATATAGTTCAATTAGTTTAAAGAGAACTTCATCTTATAGTCCCCTAAAGTTGACGAAATTTTTAATTATTTTGTAAATTGTATTTTTCAGTTTATTTTCTTTGCTTTGTCAGTGGAATTCAACTTAACATGTTGTAATTTGCATATTGAAATTCGTTGTATTTCATTCAATCAATCAATTACAGTTGGTGAAATACTATTCCTAAATATGCTCGCTCCATTATTTAAAAAAATCATGTAGATGTGCTCCTAATAGAGCAAGTATGGTAATGTAAATTATGTTTTTAGACATCAAAATCGTTTCCTAAAAAATTCTTTTCTATCCACCAACCAATGCCAAATGTACAATGACTTCCCATTAATTCTGAAAACCCCTATACACCTAGTAACACACTATGTATTCAAAGTGACCAATAATAAATGAAATGCAAACTTTATACAACATAATATGCAAATAATATGTGAAGTTGGAACTTCGACGTCTATAGTGCTGCGTACTGTCAGTTACATTTAGAATTCAGGTAAAATATATCACTATAAATGTGTTTAATTTAATATTGGTCACAAGAACATACCATTCTTATTTTTTTTTTTTTGTCAAAAAAGATATTCATACTTAAAAATTGGGTGACGAAACTTTTGTTTTGTATGTCTGATCAGTATTTGACACTTTTTGTAATATATCACTTCCTCAGTGAATGATGCAATATTATATCTTAATAAAATGAATTGTGTACAGTATTATATTGTTTTGTCATTATCACCAACATGGAACAAAGTCCTCTTACATGGTTTTTCAGTCGAATAGTTATGGGTAAGCCTGCTACGTGGAAACTAACTGGTTAAACACCTTGTTTAGGGTTGAGGTTCTGGTCGAGATTGTCTGAGACCCAAGACCATAGTTTATATTCAGTCCCTCAAAAAAATCAGTTGAATAAATGCTAGTCAATTAGAGCAAGTATTATGAATGAGCTGAATTGCTACACAGTGTGCACAAGGTTTTTGCCTGAAATAAAACACTCTGGCATGAACAAAATTAGCATACGAGGTGTGTTCAATAATATATTTGTATTCAGTAATATTTTGGCAACAATCCACAGTTTCATTCTGTTGTGCTGAGGAAATGGTATGTGATAAATGTATAATCTCGCGATATTTTCTTTTAGGATGACGTAAGTATACACTCGTGATTACCACAGATTAGCATAAATCCTCAACTACGGCTCAGATTATAATATAGGTAGAACTCTCAAAATTCTGTGACATATCGTGAGGTTATATATAAATATCATTAGTCAAATACATGTTTCATTCAACCATAGATGCTTAGTTTATTCAGTAGAATGCAGCCACGCAGCTAGTCAATCTGAAAATTGTTGTACCAATCCAAGGTGTTGCTGCCCCCCCCCCCCCAAAGATGAACGTTGAACTCTTTGTTTTTTCTGAGTAAATGGGCATTGTTGAGAACGAAGAAACTATGACTGTCTGGAACACCAGAAGAGTACTTTTCTTGTAAATTCTTACGAAGAATGCTGAATGAAAAATGTCAGCTATCAAAGTTTGCGGATTTTCAGAACAATAGACAAGCCAAAAAGTAGTATAACTGTACTATCAGTTTATAAAACTGACAGTTAAACCTCCTGTAAGCCTAAGTGGCCATTCCTATTACATTAATTTGGAATATCTCAACATTGGTGAATATTAAACATAGAGGGGGTGTGCCACTTTTCATCAAAATAGAACAGTTCTCCAATGGTGAAAGTTGAGCGTGTTTACTGGTGCTTGCAAGGCATTGATTTCAGTTATTCAATGAACTGACTGAATAGTCCAGTGTAACCTTGTTGTTGGAAAGCCACAAACATTGCTCATTCTATCAATAGTAGTTATGGCAACTCATCAAGTTATCAGATTCACACTTCTGTATAGAATTTTTTTTTACTGATACAAAAACTTTAAATATGTTCTACATTTGTTGAGATTAACAAAATAATAGCTTTTCTAATGTTTGTTAAATTATAATTTACCAGTGCCACTGTAATTCTTTACACATATACCTGCATGTAACTTTAGATTTTAACTGCTTGTGACAGTTGAGACACATTAACAAAAGTTTCTCATGCATGACAGACTGTTAAGACAAGCGTTATTTAACCATTAAAATAAACACACACACATCATGCACAAAGAGTAGGTTATTGATATTTTATTCTTTAGTCAGTTGAAACCAGTCTTGGTGGTGTTGGCTTGTTGTGTTGAATTTTTCCTACTGAACTGGTAAGTACTATTCAGCTACACTTTTCTACATTTTTATTTTTAATGCAGGTTATTATTCCGGGGTCTCTAACACTTTGTGTAGGATAAAAGTGGCCAACTGCTTACCACTGGACTGTGGCAAATTTGGTGACAAATGTTTCAAAACTACAGCATTATATATGTATCCTAAAACCAAAGATACCTAGTATGTTTGCTTAAATGTGTATGTTTTGATAATTAGGGTATGTACATGTAGTAATCAATTGATACTTGGATCAAAGGTACTTGAAAATATGCGACTCTCTAAGCTATATAAGCATGCCAGCATTTGATCACTTTGGTCAGGACTAAGCTCCATCAAGTATTTGAGTTTCAAGTAAACCACTTTTTAGTTCTACTGTCATGATAGATGACAATCTGGAGCTGTTCATATAGGTGATTGTCCGTTCTCTTCGTCAACAATTGCATTTTCTTCTTGAAAACTACTTTGATACTTGGTATGTAGAAACCTTGGGTGGACCTTTGTCAGATTTGTTTATTTTGTGACAATATCTTCAATTTTTGTCAAATTGTTTTGGTAAAAAATGCTATTTTCAACTGCTTGAGAAGTACCAATTCTATTGCTTTGATATAGCACCTTGGATGGACCTCTATCAGATTTGTTCATTTCATGCCTATATCATCAATTCTCTATTTTTGGCAAATATGTTCTTGTAGCGGGGCTATTTCGACTGTCAGGTTGCTCGTTTCTATACATGTACAAATTAGGTAACTTGGAATATGTTATATAAATGGTAACATTGGATATTTTTTCATTTACACATGAATTTATCACTATATGCCCATGATGTATAGAGTGAACATTTATCCACCATCCATACCAATTAATTAATACAAATTTTATCAACTTCAGTGTAATTTAAAAACTAATATTATCAAGCACATACCACAATCACTTCACAATGTTTGATACATTAATATTTTATTAAGGGACCATAAATACTGTATACACCTGATTTCCACTGCTATGGATTGTCACGGATTCATGATTTTATGGAATTTGTGAAGAAAAAATGTGATGAAAGTCACTGTTTCTCTGTCCACAGACATTTGACCCCAGAGACATTTTTCCTGCTATAAAATTTCTTGATTTTCACTGAGCCGTAAAAATCTTGGTTCTCATGAAACTGAACCAGTTTATAGAAATTAAACAACAAGTGTAATCTCTTCATTAAAGAGCGGTGGTCGTCGCACCGCATCCTGTTCGATATGGACTCAACGTACACAAAGCATGTGAAATACATTGTTTGTTGTCATGAAATTCGAAGATGCACTGCGCGGCGACCACCACCTTTAATAATTCCTCCCTTTAAACAAAAGTTTGCAAGGGTGGAATACATGTAACAAACTTTAAACAACACTGTAAAAATTTTGCTCACAGTAATTGAAAACATCTTCGCCACCCACCCCTACCTTCATCCCTAAACAAGATTACATTTGCTATGCATATGTTTTACATCCACTACCAGATATATGTGCTCTAATTATTAAAGCCATATGAAGTTGATTTCAAAACACAGAAGTAAATGGTTTCTAGTTGTATTCTAGTTGTAAGTTATATTCAGTGACGTGATATTTGAAACCATGTTATTCTGAAGTGCACGATACCTCATGCAGAGAAATCTTTACAATTACAAACATGCCCTATGATCTGTGTGTACTGGATTTAGGTTCCTAAACTGCTGTAATCAAAAACATAGTTTTCAGGAAAAATCAAAGGCACATGTGAGAAATGGAATTGTGTTTCAGGATGATTTTTATGTACATCAGTCTTCCATTCATGCTAACTACCTAAAGGTAGAAGCCTACTCTTAGTTTTTGAGAAAGTTGCTTATAAATCGCATGACAATGTTCATTGATTTATTTAAAAAAATGTTATTGTCTCATGGCATGAAATAGTAAGAATTCTTTTGATTCTTATAGTGACGTATTTTGAGAATAAACTTGTCCTAATATTTTTCAAGAATCGCTATTTTTAGAACATTTTCATGGAACACACGTGTGTTAAAGAAAAATTACATTTTTTGATACTTCTTAAAACCCAGATTTTTCAAATAATTCATCAACAAAATTGAAGTACCTCATCACCAGTCTAAAATTTGAGATATGACATAATATCTCTCTCATAGAAACCTATGTAAAAACTAAAATTTGAGATATGACATAATATCTCTCTCATAGAAACCTATGTAAAAACTAAAATTTGAGATATGACATAATATCTCTCTCATAGAAACCTATGTAAAAACTAAAATTTGAGATATGACATAATATCTCTCTCATAGAAACCTATGTAAAAACTAAAATTTGAGATATGACATAATATCTCTCCCATAGAAACCTATGTAAAAACTAAAATTTGAGATATGACATAATATCTCTCTCATAGAAACCTATGTAAAAACTAAAATTTGAGATATGACATAATAATCTCTCTCATAGAAACCTATGTAAAAACTAAAATTTGAGATATGACATAATATCTCTCTCATAGAAACCTATGTAAAACTAAAATTTGAGATATGACATAATATCTCTCCCATAGAAACCTATGTAAAAACTAAAATTTGAGATATGACATATCTCTCTCATAGAAACCTATGTAAAAACTAAAATTTGAGATATGACATAATATCTCTCTCATAGAAACCTATGTAAAAACTAAAATTTGAGATATGACATAATATCTCTCCCATAGAAACCTATGTAAAAACTAAAATTTGAGATATGACATAATATCTCTCTCATAGAAACCTATGTAAAAACTAAAATTTGAGATATGACATAATATCTCTCCCATAGAAACCTATGTAAAAAGCAATACTGGTATAATACTGACAATCTACTAAATACAACCTTCATCTTTCTCATAAATTAGGCTGGTGATCCCCAAATTTTTTAAAGTCAATAATATTGCCCAAGAGTATAATTTATTGCAAAATGATAAATTCTGGGTATTTGCATCTATGAGTAGGTTTCCAACTTAAAAAGCGGTAGTCGTCGCGCTGCGCATGTGCAACATTTGTGTTGATAAACATTGATTTTCCCACAATGCAATGCATTCTTCTAATGGAAATCACAAGTATGAGGTTTGACCTTGGCACGACTTGCCATAATTACCGCCGATGACTCCTTTAATACCTAATGGAAAACACACAAGAAAATTTCAAATATCTAATTAAAGCTTTGTTACTTCTCAGTTTGTACTCGTTGATCTGCACAACAGTTAAAGTTGCCATCTTTGCACACATGCATGGCACGATGACTACCGCCTTTTAAACATGTCAATTATGCTGGAGTAAATTTGGCCAATAGGAAATGTTTGTTTGTTTGTTTGTTCCATCCACCAACATCAAAACTTACCTCACAGCATTATCTACTTTTGTCACCTTCCACTTAATGTGAAATCTGCATAAATGCTTCCATTTTTGTTTTCAAAAAGTTAGAAATAAGAAAGTTGGTCCAAAATTTTACAAAATTTATAGAAATAATTTAAAACATTTTGGCGTATTAATATTTGGCATTCAGATAGGTATATAGAGTATTACCCTAATTACTTGTATATTTGTTCCACAAATAACTTTGATCATACAGATGAAAAAATAGCCCCATCATTTTTAATAATAAGGTTTAATGGGGAAATGATTTAAAATTATAGTCAAATATTGAAAGATATTTTTTTTTTCAATAGTGATTGTTTGACATTATAATTGTATGTATTATCTGATGATATAGAAGAATAAAGATGTTTGTTCAGCTCCTGCTTGTAGCAGTAGTACTAATCAGTTACACGGATGCTATCACATGTGAACAAAAAGCAATGGATGAAGGGCGTAAGTTGCATTTCTATATTCAAACTGCATGTTATATCTATAATTTCAGATTACGAATCATATAATATGAGATTATTACGAGGATACCGAAAAGTATGCACAAAGACAGTACAGTGGGAGTATTGACAGACGGAGGTTGATGCGACTACATGTACATACTGTCTGAGTGCACACTTTGTGGTATCCTCGTAATAAGCTTATTATTATACATCTTTTCCTTCCAAGGATACACCATGGGAATGACGAAATCCCAAATGTTTAGGACAGATTTAGCAAACTTCTTTGTGTGGAGTCCGGTCAAACCCTGGGGCTGCCATGTTTGTTTTTATTATTAGAGGATGCTCATGCATGCAATCGCTCCAAATTTGGAATTTGCATTTCCTAATATGGTAGGATGAATATACCCAGTAAAATACTGCAAAATTAGGGCACGTTGTTACTTATGGCGTTACGATGACAGATGTATAATAATGTCATTTATAACCATGCAATTATTCATAGTAGATTAAAAAAAATCCGATTACTGATTTTTTTATTCGTCAACATTTTATCTTTCAGGTGCTGTCTCTGCACTTTGTTTTGGTGATTTAAACCAAGGTGTTTGTGTGGATGATGGTGTTGACTACTACTGCAATTGCAGCTATGCAGTCTTTGGAAGTGACTGTCAAGATAATTTCATTTGTTTAGATCCATATAATCCCTGTCTGAATGGTGCTAACTGCTTACTGATTCCAGATGTATTTTGTTTCTGCCAGCTTGGTTATTCTGGAACCTACTGTGAGATTGATGATAATCAGGTGATCACCACAGTAACCACCACCACCACAGTTGTTACCACGGTAGCCAGTTCACCATGTGATGTAATGCCATGCCTAAATAATGGGGTATGTGAAGAAATAGATGCCACTACCTACACCTGTACATGTTTAACTGGATTCCTAGGTACGTCTATCAATACTCTTGATATCAGGTGTGCAATCAATATTAATAAATAACTCTTAAATTTAATTGAAATTCTAATGACCATTTTGTTTTAAGAAATGCAGCTCAGGAGATGCATCTCCGCAATGTCCTGACCAATCATGTTCTAACTTTACATATACATGTACATCATATTGCACGTATGCATATATGTATATATTTATTTGACATTACAATTCAATATGGCTGAATGGCAGCCATTTTAATGTTAAAAATTCATCAAAATCAAGCAATTGTGCATTCTCATTAAACTTAATTGGACCATTGTGTTAATAAACATTTATTTTCCCATAATCCAATGTGTTCTTCTAATCACAAGTAGAAGGTGAATTTTACTATAACTTGAGAACTTACAGAAACTATGTAATGTAATTACTTGTTGACAAAAAACTGAATCGGTTTAGAACTGTTTTCCTTAAATGACGTTCAGTCATCAAACTTGATATGATAACCATACATATTTGGTTGCAGATTTCAAGTATATTTCATAGTGTATAATTTCCATGTCAGAGACACTAAATTATTGTTTTTTTTGTCTTTTCCAACCCTGCTAAAATAATTTCTGGTTATATGCATTACTCACCTCTAAATATGTTTAATTTATTTTGATTTATACAGGTACAAATTGTGAAGTTGATATTTGTGATCCAAATCCATGCCAAAATAATGGTAATTGTACTTATTTAAACCTGTCATACAGCTGTGATTGCCTTTTGGTAAGTCACCAATCCATGAATATAATGTTTAAGTTATGTGTTCTACTGGTACTGTAAAGTAACTTATTTTAACTTGGAATTTATTTTTGCTATTTTCTCTGACAAGGTGAATCATTAAAAATAAATTCCAGTAAAAATTTTTTTTCATTTATTTTATATTCAACTCATTAAAAATCAGTGGGAATGAACTTCATGCGAAATGTATTTCAGTGAAAATAAAATATTTTACAGTAGTTGAGATAGAGATGATAATGAATGTAATGTAAATCTTAAGAAGGTTTTTGCTGAATATTGTGAATTTTGTGAATATTACTTATCAGTGGGATAACCTGGTCATGCGTTGCAGAAGTTTTAATTAAACTGACATTCACACTTTTTCATGCCTTATTCACCTAAAATTGGACCCATTAGACGAGACACAGGGACTCAGGATTATACCTACATGGAACTCTGGGTTGAGACTAGTCCTTCTGACATTGAGCTAAATTAACCGTTTCACCACCAGATTTTCTCACCCAAATTTGTCTGCACTTTTTTCTTATATTCTTAAATGAACAAAATGTTGGTAAATTTTCAGTTTTTACCCATAAAATTTAGCTATTTTTGTCCACTTCTGAATTTGTATTATTCATTGCTTTGGCACCAGTAAAACATCTATTGTTACAAATCAGAATGGAGTTAAAAAGAAAAAGAAAATTAGAATTAGAATCAGTTTGCCTTTAGCAAAGTTTTTTTAATTTTCATCTTAATGGCTGATAGATGCAAGTAAAATAAGATTAAACATACTTCACGAACACAAGAGGATACAGTACTTACAATACAATAATCTGTGTTTAAAACAAATTGCGATGGAACACAGTATAATTTGAAGAAAAATGTTTGCTATTGTAATTGACCATGACTCAGTATTCCCTTGACTGTGGTATGATCTTAATTACCATTATAATTCTCTAAGACTAGTAAATCTGCATTGTATTTCAACATAAAGTAAGGTGATTTATAATTATCCCGTTACTGAGGGGGCCCTGGGGAAGTATAAATTATACAACCACCTGTTGTCTTATGTCTGCTTGTCTAAAAATTTCAACTACAGTATATGTTGGTGTATGTGACATATTTATTTTGTACATGGGAGAGTTCACATGTATGCCTGGCATACTTTCTCACCTTATAAAATATGTGCTTCATTTGTGTTACCAAATGTCTTTTGTATATAACAATGACAAACATTTTTTATGTGACTTAATTTAGGATAAAGCCAGGCTACAAGGATTATTCTGAGATATGTAAACTGTAAACAGTCCTATAGACTATTTTGCATGAAATTAATAATGGAAAGCGACCATTCCTCTATTTTCAACTGAAATCTGCTATAAGAGTCCTTGATTATTTTGATAGCCATTTTGTTTTTTTAGATCAGATTCAAAATTTGCTCCCCAAAATGCAGGAAACAGCGTTTCAGATGGTCTATATTTTTAAAAATTTTCCTGGGGGTCCATGCCCCCGGACTCCCCACAAAGGTTGCGCCTTTGGCTCGTTTTTTGAACATTCACATAAAACCATCTCCCCCACAGTCAAAAAAAGCTGCCGCCACCTCTGTGGGTTTCACATTTTTCAAAACAATACAAATACTTCAGTGGATATGGAACCCGAAAATTTCAGAATGTTACCAATTCATGAAGAAACACTGAGAAATGCAGCTTTAAAAAATAACATGTATTCTATTTTTGTTCAGGGTTACATTGGTAATGAGTGTGAGATTCCAGAAAGCAACTGTCTGCCAAATCCGTGCCTGAATTCTGGTCTTTGCCAGCCAACTGAAACTGGTTACATCTGTAGTTGCGTCTCGGGATACAATGGCACCGAATGCGAATATGACCAGCGCGATGAATGTTCATCATCCCCGTGTGTCAACGGCGGTTTCTGCTTAGATGATGTAGAAATGTATCTGTGTGATTGCCCCATCTATTACAATGGCCTGCACTGCGATATATTTGATATCAACTTTCCAGGTGGAATTGGAGAGGATGTCGCGGCTGCACCACTGGCTGCTGATCAACGCAACTGTGAAATACCAGAGTGTGCACTCGTTTATGGTGATGGTGTATGTGACGTAAGTATACAAGGATTTAACAACCTTCAATATCATTGAAACATGAAAAAACTGGTTTTGTCATTTTATTGTGTTTTAAGTAATTTTGTACGGTGTATTACTACGATAATGTCCATCGCACGCAACAGATACAGTAGCTAGCCATGAAGCAATGACACATGTTTTTGTTTTGCCAAGTGGTTGTGGGTCACAATAAAAAAAATTTGAACATAATTTTTGCAATCTGTTTAAAGAAAGGTTAAACCAAATTTACTCAACAAATGTGGAAAGTCAGTTGAACAAAACTGGTCATAATAAACTAAGTACTTATAAAACATTCAAAAATAATTATAAATTTGAAAAATACTTGGATGATATAAAAAACAAAAAACACAGAGTAGCATTAACCAAATTTCGTATTTCAGCCCACTTCTTGCCAATTGAAATAGGTCGTCACAGGGGAATAAATAAAATTGACAGGGTATGTAACAAATGTGACTCTAAGGATGTGGGTGATGAAAAACATTACTTTTTTCATTGTGACAGTTTTTCTGAACACAGAAAAAAATTCCTCTATACATTGTTCAAATACTCACCTGACTATCAAACATTACCAAATGGAGAATTGTTTATTAATGTTTTCTCTAGTATAGACAAATATGTTTGTAGTATTTTAGCTAATTTTGTTTTTCAGATTTTAAAATTATTTTAGATTAGTTGTGATACTGTATGTTTCTTACGTTGGACTTTACTCAAGCATTGTTTTTGTGTACATTCCAAATAAAATATCCTATCCTATCCTATCCTAATTTCCCAAAGTAATTTGATATAAAATACATTCTAGTTTTGTTAGCAACTTCAAAGTCCATGGTTTGATAAAGTTTTTCAGATGATTAGGAATTTCTTGATTCGCTACATCTCAGATGGATAGAAAATCTTATGTCTGTCATACAAGTCATTATGCTGTATGGAGTTTCTTTCTTTGATGTGAATCTCTATTAGAAGTACAGAATTATTCTTCAGTTTGGTTTGATTTAATATAATAACTTTATTACTCAACAATTATCATCTGTGGGTAATGTATGCTTAGAAAAATACTACAATAAAGAGAAAATTACAATAATAGTACTAAAAAAGAAAATGTTACCTTTTGTATATTGTTTGTTTAAGGTATTTAACTAGAGGAAAACTGTTGTTGCATATGTTTATAAAATTGTTTATTTATTAAAGCAAATACTATGATGTTTTAATACTTACTGGTCAACAATGTTTTTACATAATTATGTATCCTAGTAGAGCAACAATACAATATTCAATTTTTAATAATGATGGGAAATATGACAGTGATAGCTACAATTGTTACTGGAATGGCAGAGACTGTTCACTGGGAAGGTTACATAAGATTTATATCTGTTTACTCTGTAGGCAAAATGTAACACATACAATTGTTATTGGGATGGCAGAGACTGTTCACTAGGCACATTACCATGGGAAAACTGTACAGTGGACAGTGTGAATTGCTGGGATGTATTTCAAGATGGGAAATGTGATGAAGAATGTAATATTAATACTTGTATACATGATGGTTTTGACTGTGATGAACCTGTTGGAGAGTGCAAGTGAGTTTGATTACAGAAATCTTTGAAAGTTGCGCCAGACTGAAATCAATCATAGTCATATAGGTGAAACCTGAAGGTTTGTTGACAAAAATGAAATACAAGGAACTCTCAGGCTCTGTTAATTGAATAATTTCTATTGAATAACCTTTAATTTAAAGTGAGAGGGTAGTCACCTGCACACATGTGGGAATTGAGGCCCAATCGATGATGAAAACACATGCAAAGGCTCATGGGTAGACGCTTGTTTGTATTAAAACAATAACCTGCTATGGCCATCTGACCAACGTGCAGGTGGCGACTACCTCACTTTAATTTTTAGTAGATGGATTCTTAATCAATTGATAATTTTGTTTTGATTTAAGATATGATAATTACTGCAGTAATTATTATGCTGATGGATTGTGTGATAATGGATGTAACAATGCCCCATGCAGTTGGGATGGTTTGGATTGTGATGAATACCCACCAAATTATGCTGAAGGCACACTTGTTATGACCATACTACTAGAACCAGAAGCAATTCGTAATAATTCCAAGATGTTTCTACGTGAAGTTGGTCAAATTTTGCATACTATTGTAGTCTTTGTTCAAGACGAGAATGGAAATGATAAGATTATTGCATGGACTGAAGAGGATGAAGATGATGTCATAGATTCAAGTGAACTAAGTAAACGAAGTGCTTATAATGACACAGTCACACAAGAAACATTAACAGGGTAGGTGGCTGTACCAATCCAATTAACAGAGAGTTGTTTTGTACAAGCATTTTGCGTCTTTTTTCTTAGTTTAAATACCTGGTTGCTGATGTAAATATGTGCATATGTCAAACTAAATATTATGGGATTGAATATATTTTTTAACTAGAATTTATTTCAGTGAAAAACTATAACTTTAAAAAACTAATTATTACTTGATTAGTAGCACATATGCTTACATAAATGATAAGAAGTGTATAGTCAAAATGAGTCATATTTTTAATGATCCAGTGTGCAGTACATGCAACTGTTGATATGGATTCTATTCGAGTTGTTCTTATAATAAAGCAAATACATTTTAAATTAGTAATTTGTCAATGATTATAACAAAATGTAGTAAAATTTATTGTCACAGGATTGTTTTTTTGCTGGTTCAACCCTTCAGCAAAAAATAAAGTATTCTACTGTAAAAGTATCTTCATGTTGGGCTTATACCAGAACTTTTTTTCCATTCAAATTTATTATTCCATTGTGTATGTTGGTTGGTGTTACTTTTCCCAATTATAGTTTCTCCACTGGTAGATATTTTTCATAATTTGGCTCAGACAGATTGAAATTTTATCTGATTAAATGGAAATAATTTGAGAGCTACTTCAATAGTACTTAAAAATTAAATACAGTCAAACCTGTATTTATTGCCAAAAAAGGGAAGCAATCTACAAGACTGCCAAATACAGTACACATAATTTTGACAACAGGTTGAAATAATGACAGTCTCACAGATAATGCAACCCCATAGATGTGTAAACTAAAATAACAATACATTTTCTTAATTTTGGAATATATTTTCATTTCAGCTCCAAAGTATACTTAAAGATGGATAACAGGAAATGTTATCAGTCTGGTGGTAGTTGCCTTCAAACTGCAGATGAAGCAGCTTCTCTACTAGGTGCTAGATCATCTAAAAGTACCATTGACCTGGAAGTATTACCACTACAAAATATAGAAAGTAAGTCATGTACATGTTGTTAAGAATAAATTGTCTTGCCATAAATATCAATGTTGTGTTGGTCAAGCACATGGTACATTCAAACATGTGATGTCACTGTATAATATGAGGTTATTACGAGGATACTGCAAAGTATGCAAGAAGACAGTACAGCAGCAGTATCGACTGATGCACAGCAAAGGTGGATGCGACTGCTTACTGTCTGAGTGCATACTTTGTGGTATCCTCGTAATAACCTTATTATTATACATCTTTTCCTCCCAGGAATACATCATGGAAATGCCGAAAATTAGCTAATTATCATACATACTTATTATTATTTATTGATGCTTACCTGGCCACTCTCAGTAAACAAAATCTAATAGAATCAATTAATTTTAGCTGAAGCAGACACTACAACAACTGAAAACTCTCCTAGTAGTCTTCTCTGGATTATGGCAGTACTGCTTGTCATCATAGCATTTCCATTAGTTGGAGTTCTCATATCTGCTAATAGAAGGCGCAAAGCTAAAGGAACTCTATGGTTTCCTGATAACTTTGTGCCCCATACAAGTCAAGGCGGCAAAAGGAAAGAAACCTCAGGCAAGGAGTCTGTTAACTTGAGGTAAGTTTAAATCTGATTTAGATATAGACCTGAGGCGACAAAGTTACGATGCGTAACTAGAAAATGACAAGTAAAACAAATTAACATAAATACACAAAAATAACAATAAATAAATATATAAAATATTAAATAAATCTATACCTACATTGGAAAGGAACTTCAGTCTTTTCTTTGATGTAACAATCTCTTGAGAGTTAAATAGAATGTTCAATTTGCAAGACTACGTTTGAATATTCTATGATAAGTTTCATCACATACATACAAAAATATTAATACTGTCGGCAAAACTTAGATGAAAGCCCTTTTAATTTTGAGTAACTTGGCCAAAATAAAATCTGAAAGTTATGACATTCATGAGTTATACTGATTAAAACCTGATGCATTGTGCATGTTAATCATTATCGTTATTTCATTGTCTTTACTGCAATAAATCCTGTTATGCATAATTTTGCTGTTCAAATCCTGTACAGGAGCAACTCATACCAGATTACTCTGCTTCACATTGAATATTGATTTTTTTAATATAGAATATTTTTTATCATCGAACCCAATGTGCAATTTGGAGACTTGATGACACCCCAAGATCCTGAAAACTTGATCACAAATAAAACTGCTATATGAAATTTGGCTATTAGCGAGAGAAGTATTTTGGAAACACCTCTGTCAGTAATTTAGGGTATTTTTTTTAAGTCCATTGCTACTAATAAAGCAAATATGGTAGTCAAAAAACACACATAGCATATCACCTGACAGTTCAACTGAGCATTGAATCTGCATTAATGTGACATGACTATATTTATATACACAGAAGTATTGAAGGAACACCCAATGGCGTAGCAAGTGTTGAATCATGTGACTATGAAAGTCATGGGAAGTCACCTTCTACATTGAGTGGTAAAAGTCATTCTCCTGACTCTGAAACAGATATTGAACCATCCAAAAAGAGAATAAAGGTAAGATACTTTAGATGAGTGTTGATTGAAAATCTTTTTACACTGTAATTTGCAAGTATTGAAATAAGTTATTTTGAATACCAGAACCTGTCATCATAGGTACCAGTACATCACTTGCCCTGCAGAATTTCTTTCACATATACTCAGCAAAACATGCTTGCTAATAGAAATTTGAATTCAGTTTTAACTCCTTATAATACTGGTGCACAATTCAGTGAATTGCTGCATTACTACAAGCTTTGGTTACCGTTCCCATTTACGTGTTATGGTTCCATTATTCTTCCCAGATCAGTGACCAAATTGCTTATGAGATGTATTCACCTTTCATGTCAATATAATAGTAAAAATTTATTACATGAAACAACTTGCTTGACTTGTACAGTAAAACCTGTCCAAACCAACTCCTATGTAAAAAGCTTTCAAAAACAGGACGCCGCAGCCAAATGAACAGTCTAGACAGGTTTCATTATAGATACATCTATAAACAACTCTGTAAGATGAACATTTTTCTCAATCCTTTTGATGTTCAGTTACTAGAAACATCTATAAACTATACACCTCAGGATTTGTAAACTGGACAACTTTCGCAGTCCCTTAGGTATTCAATTTAGACAGGTTTCATTATACATTCATATTCATTCATAGTTCCAAGAGCCAAGCCCGAGTGCAAGTTCTCAGGATGACAGAGATCAGATGATAATGATAGATGATGAAACTGATAAGCAATATTGGTCTAAATCACACTATGATGCAGCTGAAGTCAAAGTACCTCCACTATTAGCAATGACACCACCAAATGATGTGGATGATGCTGATGGGGTACAGTTTGAAGTGAATGCACAAGGTCCAGGTTAGTTGATGTTGAACTTGAAATCTAACAGGTGACAGCTTATTGTATACAATAACTTTTTGACTTATTTACACAAATGTACATGTAATGACTGGGCAGCTCATCAATTTGTTTTTGGCCATCTAGTGCAGTAACTATAGAAATAATTTGCCGATGTTATGGATTCAGTTCATCTTTATTTATTGCCACCTTTTTAAATCAGGGGCAGGGGCAATTACCGATACACATGCAATGGAATAAATTGGGAACACTAAAATACATGTCTTGTTACATCTTTATTTGTGAGAAAATTGTTTTGATATTTGCTATCTATTCTGTCTGGCAGGTGGTTTAACGCCATTGATGTTGGCTTCTGCACATGGTTGTGATGAAGACATGGAAGAAAGATCAGCTGCAATTATAGTTGATTTGCTAGCACAAGGAGCAACTACTTCTAGTAACACAAAGAAAACAGGTACTCTTTTGCTTTCTAGAGATGGGGCTTGCAAGATTGCAGAAAAACAAGATTTCTGTCAGCTATAAAATGAACTTTCATGCAGTTGGTCATATGAAAAATAATTCATTTTTCTATGGAATTCACACCACTGAATTTGTATACTTTATACACTGTTGTATCTACTAATATGAAATTTTATGATATGTAATACTAAGAGTGGTTTACTTTTGTCAGGTGAGACGTCATTACACTTAGCAGCCAGATACTCCAGATCAGATGCAGCAAAGACTTTACTCATGTCAGGTGCTGATGCTAATGCAAAAGATCTAACAGGCAGAACTCCATTACATGCTGCAGTTGCTGCAGATGCTATGGGAGTATTTCAGGTACACACTTTAATATCTGGATTTATTTATATAAATAACAGTGCCATGGTGGATGTAACTGAATTTTATTCAACAGCCTAACCACATGTCTAGTTCCCCATGTATAAAATTAGTATTACAGAAAATACAAAACAAAACATTCATAATGCCAAACAAAATGATATGTTGCTGGTAAATCTCCTTGACAAAAAATCAGGACGCATCAATATTTTTACTTGCATTTTTAACTCGGCTGACGACTCTGCTTTGATACTATACATATTGTTCATTTTCTAATGATATCTTCAGTTCTTAATTGAAATGTGAATTGCTAACAGCGGAGCTATCTCAGCTGACAGGCTGCTTGTTTTGGGGCAAAATGACAGTTGTATGTCTTAATGCATTATCACATCAATCATGGTGTGTGTGTGTGTGTGTGTGTGAGGTAATCACGACAAGTATTTTTTTTTCGTATAATGATGTTGACAGCATAACAAATATGGCAATAAAAAGCTTATAAATTAAGGCATATCATAATAATACAAAATATATTATTTATCTAACTCTTTGAGCAACGTGTATGTGACTAACTAATGTTTTTTGTTTTAGATTTTGTTGAGGCATAATTCAACAAATATTGACAGTAAGACATATGATGGTACAACAGCCATGATACTGGCTGCTAGGTTGGCTGTAGAGAATATGGTTGAAGGTCTTGTCAATGCTGGTGCAGATCTGAATGCAGCTGATAATGGCGGTGAGTATGCAATGCAAGTAATAACATCTGAGGCTTGAAAGTTTATATCAGTTCAGTTTTAGAAAATGAGAGAAATATTTTCTCAAATCATTGAAGACTTTAGTTTATAGCCAATCTTAGTACCTGATAAAAGTTTGTGGTAGTTTTTTTTTATTTTTAAATTATTGTATTAAAAATATGTGTATTTATTATTGTTGGCCATGTTGCAAAACATTTTTCTCAAAGTGTGTTTTGATACTTTGGGATTATTCCAGTGAGTTATGTATCGCATTGTTGAGAAATTCCATGACGTCAATTTCAGTATAGATAATTTTTGGCATTGGTAATAAAAATGTGAGAAAATCACGAAATGGGGAATCACCAGCAATTGGAGTGAATCCCACATTATGGATGTGGCAGTATTCAGTTGGTGCGATTCCAGTACAGCAAAAAAAAATATCTAAATGCATACTACTGGAGACTTGCTTCTAACAGTCAAATGTATTACCATTCTCTTATAAAAGGTTACAAGACACGGTAAATTATATCTGTTATGAGTTTATTGATGAAATTTTACTGTAGTACATGTATAATATACTGTAAAATGACTAATTTTCACTGGGTTTAAATTTCACTGATTTACCATTTCAGGCATATTCAGTGGGTTTTAAATTCACGGTTTCGTCATTTAGATGTGGTGTTCTATGCTAAATTTGACAAATTCACTGTGTTTTAATTTAGCGCATTTTTCCAGTCAGCGAAATAAGCTAAATTAAAACCCAGTGAATAATTACCCCTTTTACAGTAACACCACTAGAGGGCGCTTTTATACCAAATGCTTGTTTCCTGCAGGTAAAACTGCCTTGCATTGGGCAGCAGCTGTTAACAATGGAGAAGCTACATCTGTTTTATTAAAACATGGAGCTTCAAAGGATGCACAAGATGATAAGGTAACATATTGTTATTATTATCCATTCGAGTGTGTTATCCCACTGATTTCTATTGCTATAGAAGTGAAAATATCACGAGTTGCTGCGATGTTCCAAATAAAAAATATACATCATGTGATTGGTGTTATTTTATATTCACTGTGTGACCAGCACTACTTTTACAATTGTAATGGACAGCTGGGCAGTGTAAATAAATATAATTCATTTAGAACAAAACGTAAAATATTGATTCTCAATTATGGTTTTTAAGTTTTTTCCATAAAAACAATATACAAAACCTGTACTTACATTCAATTTATGCGAGTGTTTCTATGTTGCCTAGTTCTTTAAAAGCTATTCCATGCGACTCTCGCTGCCGATAATAACAATGAGGCCCGAAGAAACTCAAAGTGTTTTGATTATGTTGGAAAACAAAACATTACAAAAAAATGGTGTTCAACAAAGAGTTTTGAGAATTAGTCAATGGGTACGTTCCAAACTTGGGCATTCTCACTCACATATGAGCAGCAATGTACCTTCTGAGATTTCCAGTGTCGACAGCATGCCCAGTGAAAGTCCTCCTTCAAATTACATTGCTATTTCCAACACAACAGTACCTTATGTTATTTATGACAGTGATTCCAATTGAACACTGAATGATTGTGTTTGGTAGTCTAATAACTAAACAGAACTGTTGGTGCTAGTATACAAAATCATTAAAGTTTATTTATTTTTATCTGAATTTCAGGAAGAGACTCCATTATTTTTGGCTTCAAGAGAAGGAAGTCATGAAGCAGCTAAGATACTTTTGGACTACTATGGAAATCGGGATATCACCGACCACATGGACCGATCACCTCGGGACATTGCAGAAGAAAGATTCCATCATGACATAATTAAGTTACTCGATGAGTATAATATAGTACATGTTGAGAGTCCTCCAGAGCTGTTATCACTGGTTGCTAATGGTGCTGTAGTCCAGTCATGTCAACAGGGAAATTATCTCAAGAATGATGCTAACAAACCAACAAAGAAAAAGATGTCCCGGACAAAAAATGGATTCCGATTTGGTAATAGTATCAAACAGAACAGTGGTCAGTCTAAAGCAGGAATGCAAAATTTCCCTTCCTCTCAACAACAGTCTCCACCAAGAGTCTTACAACAGTTTGGAGAAGACTCGCCTGCAGCATTCTCATCTGACAACTCTTCAATGTCTTCACCTGCAAATTATCCAAGCACATCACCTTCTTCATATCACTCCAACCCAGCTTCTCATCCAAATATCCCAGTGATGGATAATATAATGGTGTCAAAAAATTCTACCATCAACTGTTATGATTATGAGGATGACAATCATATCATTACAGCACCAAGGATTTCTCATCCATTTGCTCCCTCATCATCATCATCATCTCCTCCTCATTATCAAGGAGAAGTAACTATGAATAGTAGTCTTAGACTTGATATGGGAGTTACAGCTCCTGTCACTGTACCCAATGACTGGATCAAAAGCATACAGAACAATGGGAAAGGATCTACAACAAATGATTGTTTTATAGATGACTTTCTTGAAACTTCAATTGAAGATGTTCCTAGGTTTGCTCCTTCTTTGTCCCAGTTTGCAGCTTTTCAAGCCCTAGCAAATACACCTCGTACTACACATCCAGGTTTTTCTAACAATCCATGTGATGTACAGTATTCATCAAGTAACGTAAATCACATGCCTGGTAGTAGTGGTGGCATACCAGCCACTGGTCCAAGTAATACACATTTAAAACTATGGGATTAGACTTGTAGATAAAGAGTCGTAAGCTTTTTCATATTTCACAAACCACGAAAAACAGAATGACTAAGCATGTGACATTAATAATAATAGATTTGTGTGCTTATAGCCTGCAGAGAGATAGTCATTCAGCTGTGTATTCATGTTGGCTAGGTAAATGTATTCAAATGTACAGTCAAAACAGTCAGTGAGAACCTTCTGTTGCAAGACATGACAAGATAATTGCAGCCAGTTATACATTTCAACGACAAATGCAATCAAAAGTGCCGACCACGTGCGTTGGAAATAAATAGAAAATGTAGCATTTATTTTGTTGTGTCCCACAACTGAAGGAACACAGTGACTTTGGTTTTTTTACTGTAATACTTTAACCCCTTGAATCCACTGAAATAGGTTTCAAAATTTTACTTTAAACTTTTATTAATTTTCATGTTAAATATTTACATTATATTTTCTAAGAACTATTGGTAATATATATTGGTTTTACTATAAAATAGCAGTATTCAACAATTGTGTATTGATAGTCATAAGTTAAAGTAATATTCAACAGACATAGTTCAAAATTAACTAACTGCATTGAAATGATTGGCTCCCTGTATTTGTCGATTCTGATGAAAGGTCTATGTGCATTTGTGGAAGACATTTGGCTGCAGTTGTGAAAGCTTTAATATTTTATTTGACCTTTTTATACAAATATGGATTATTAAAAAAAAGCCAAATACATAATAGAGTGACCATGCATGAATGAAACATTTTATATTTTTAAATTTGATAGCTATAGCCATTTCCAGTGTGAACATTGAGTATTTATAATATATATTTTGAGTTGTTTTGTATGTTTATATTTGGTATTCTGTCTGAATAAAAACAATGATATTTACATGAATGGATCCCTGATATCATAGTCAATAAAAGCCATCAGCTTTGAGAAAAAATAACATAACATGATATTTGCAATTATCTGAATTCGTAATACATGTATATACCAAGTTTTGTTGAAATATGTTGAATGGTTCTTGAAATAGCACCCAAATAGCTTGAATTTCACTAGCTGGTATGAAAATTTAATAATTTGAATAAATTTCCACCAAAAACTAAATATCTGGAAACTGCCCCAACACATCAATGCACCAAGTTTTATTAAAACATATTAAATGGTTTTCTAGATATCACCAAAATAGCCTAAATATTGGTATGTAGTTTAGGCAATTTGCATAATTTTCCACCAAAATCAATCATGTCTAGACACATTTAAATATGTTGAGTGGTTATGTTTTCATTACAATCACAATAGACCAATCAAAGAAAACTTAGAACTCCCATGTGCTTTGTGAGAATGAGAAACAGTTGACATTGGAAATAGTGGTTAGTTGAAATTCCATTATTAACCAAAAATCACAAAAATATTTGCCAAAATTATAGAATTAAAGATATGGCCATGGGATGAACAAATCTAGTAGATGTCAACACAAGGTACATACACACCAAGTATCAAAGCATTCAGGCTACCGATTTCCGAAGAAGAAGTCGAAAATAGAATTTTTTACCAAAAATGACCATTTTAAAATATTCGCCAAAATTAGGAAATTTTAAATTTCCTTACCAAATCAACACAACTGATAGAGGACAACCCAAGGCACATGCACTATCAATATCAGAACTGTAGACCACTTAGTGTCATAGTAGCATACAAGAAATCTTAGAGTTTTTGGGGGCTAATTTGCATAAATTTTTGCAGATCGACTTCTCATAAACAAATTACCATCTACACTCATCAAGGCAAATTGACTCAAACAGTTTGGCGGTTTTTGAAAAGTTGTCGTGCACAGAGATAGATAGACGAACGATAGACGCAGGACAGAAACCCATCCCATAGGCTCAGCCCATGGTCCGTTGAGCCAAAAATGAGCTTAAAAAAATGGATGAAGTCTGCTGCCTTTACTTATGATCACTTTATTTTGGCCCCTGCTGTTAATATAATTTTGCTTGAAACGTTGCAATTTTTTTCAATCCCAACAGCCTGCTCCCTGGACACAACAGTTTTCACCATAATATACACATTTTTTAATTGTTCAATTTTAATTGTTCAATATTGTGGATAAAAAAATAATTTATCACAGGAGGTTGGTCATATTTAAATTTAAAATTCAACTAGTCCTGTTGCCAATATTTCTGAATCACTTTCCAAATGATAGACAGTTGATTATGTGGGTAATATTACTCTGTGAAAATGCTTTCAAACAGTTTTTGAGTAAAGGAATTACATTAAATATCAGAATGGGGAATTTTTTTTATCTTTTGAGCATTCTACACTAGAACATATTATCAGCCCATCAAATATAGTAGGACTTTAGATATGCAAATTTCAAATGCCTTAATGCAAAGTAAGAAACTCTGCTAAGAATCTTCAAAGGGGCATTGCAACGTGCCAACAAAAATTATCAGGGAGATGGTTTTGCCATCCCATTGTATCACATAACTAAAAAAAGATTACTCCAATTCACATACTTCAAAAGATTCCTTCAAATATATTAAGGAATTCTTCTGTGGCTTCTCTTGTATTTTCATCATTATGGCTGCAATGAAAACAGAATTAAAGTTGTCACTTCTGGTGTAAATCCTAACAGTCAATACTGTTGTTTTTGGCTTGCCCATGATGGAGTAGATGAAAAGTTATAGTAGTAGCAAAGTGTCCGTCATCAGTCCTTATTGTTAACTTTTTTTGTGGGTGCAAGAACTCCAATAATATTCATTCAATCGCTAACAAAACTTATATATATGATTAATCTGTAGGTACAGTTGGCTTGTATAGATTTTTAAGTTGATCTTCTAAAAAAATGTTGGTGATTTTTGAAATTTTGGGAGGTCAAATCAAATTATAGTGATCACTTTGTGAATACATTGCTTGTTTCTGCTTGCCCTCTACATAGCACAAGTAAAATTTTACATATTTTCCTAGTGTTCAGGTTTTTACTCTATAATAGTGCAATGCTTTAACAGGACAGTTCAAATGCTCCTGCAGTGTTGGTATGTATGGGAACTGGGGTGGATGCTTTATAAAATCATAATTATGACTCTAAATTTAGACAAGGTAGAGTGCGTCTTTTCACATTTCACCCTGTAAAACAAGCCTGGAAACAGAAAGAACTTGCATTTCACTATGTCAGCTGTCCGAAACTAGGGCCAGTAATAATACTGTTTTCAGAGTCAAAATCAAAATTGAGGCCTTCTTCCTTCGATTCTAAGACTAGCTTAGATAGTGGCTAGGCAACAGTTGGTCAGCAACTGGTTTAGAAAGAGATTCTGCCTACAGGTGTGTATATTTGATAGCCACAGTTGGCTCTTGGCACTGGAAAAATGGTACTGAGTCATAACATCTTTTATCATTATATTAAAAGGACTATCATATCAACACTTTCTTCCACAATGTGGTGACTCATCTAGTATCACATGAGCCTGTGCCAAGTTTGATGTTTGATCTCCCCTGGATTTGTCACCTCAACATCGTCACAATGTAACAGACAGGAGTTGGACTACCTTGGCTGGTGAAGATTCCTCATGATTTAATATTTATATGTTTTGTGAGTTGAAAAAAACAGTCCAAACAAATCAAAAAGATTTTAAAAGGACTAAACCCAACACTATAGAGCCAACTTTTCCCCACAAAATTGTAAACCCTGAGCATGTGGCAGTAAAAACTCATTGATGAGTGGAGAATGCATCCAATAAGATGAGGTAAGGGGCCATATGCCCTATGCATCTCCTGTTAACTTTATTGCCCATGCTAATGCTAATGAGATAATAAACCCAAATGTTGCACAGCTCACTTTTGTAGTACCGGTATTGCCTTGTTATAAGTTTACCTGACAGTTTGACCAGTGAAGAAACTGGGACCTGGTATGGGCTGCGTGAACGAAGAGCTGGATTTCTTATCGAACACTCCTGCTGATTTATTCACCTGAAAGTGATGAAATTTAACATTTGTACATAATCTCTGTAAGACTTGAATTACACTAAGACTGTCAACTGTCATTCAATACTCATTATACATTTGCATCCATATCAATTCACAATAATGTAAATTCAAATGAAATGTCAGTAACTTGAAAAAAAAAAAATTGATTTCTTTATAGAATCCCAAAACAATAGAAAGTATATAACACTGTCTGAACTGGTCAAGTATTACTGCCTGTGGTCATACAGTGTGGTTCAGTCCAGGAAAGTATTAGAAATTGTGCTTGCTTAGTATTATAATCTTTGCTCAGATAAAACACTAAATTGGGCTTTTGCATTCATACATTATGTAGATTTCACTTAGTTTAAAAGGTCTGCACTCCAATAAATATGGCTAGAAAATTATAGTTGTGCCAGTCTTTGCTGTTATGGCTTTTTAAATTCAATTTTGAAAGATAATATTTAACAATGTTAACACTGCACAAAACCCAAAATAGATGCATATTAAGTGTTGTAAGTATAACTCCCGCTTACTGGCACTACAGAATGTCAACATGCACCCTCTCAGTACTGCATGTAAACATGATTACACTGTTCTGACAGGTGAACCTGCACAAAATTATGTGTACTGGTATAATTTTTGAAATTTTTCACCTTTGATGAAATGTTGTAGTTGGTAAACTGTTTATTTCCAGCACATTTGGTATCAATGGCTATCAGCTCAGGACTGGATTGGATACCTCCATCTTGTAGTCTACATGGAATACTTGATTCAATACTGAAAAGAAGGTAAATTATTTGTACATTCATTTTTTTTTATAATTTAATCCTTTTACACAGGTTTTACTGAGATTCTAAATCTGTTGTTACCTGATTTATATCTGTTTGGTACTCATACATTAAGCAGACAATAGGGAATATATTTTTTGGTGTGAAATAATGCATCCACAGTGTATAATAACGTATCTGGGATGAAATTACGCTCTCCTGCTCATGTGAGAAATCTCATTTCAGGCCTGTGCGGGTGTGGGATTCTATTATTCCCTTCTTCATGTTATATTTTCTGTCGTTGCTATAAATAATGTTTTGGAAAATTATATTTATGAGTTTTGTCTAAAAATTTGCAGATATTTTATTTTTTCACTCAAAAGACTTTGAATTTCATGTACTGGCTACCAAATTTAGTAGATTTGGAAAAATAACATGGGTCTCATTCCTAACTCACTTACATATTGGTGCAAATGTTGAAACTTTTCTTATACACAATAGTGATCTTGTTGATTTTGGAGATAAAAATTTATAATTTTGCTCTTTTATGGAATACAAGTAAATTTTTCAGAACTTACATGACGTAAACAAATTGACAATGCATTTTAAATTTCACGATAATTGACATTCTGTAATTCAACCTTGTCAAACAAGATCTGGCCAACACATAATTTTGATTAATCAGAGAAATGAAAGTTATACTTACTTGTGTTCACTATAATTTGCCGGATTAAAAGAAACATTCTTCACTTTTTTGAATGAAAATTTGTTTCTGAGATTAGTGGTAATGGTGTTCTGGTCAGCTTTACTTCCATATTCAATCATTTCTTCATTTGACTGGTTTAATATTCTATCAGGCTGCGTGTAAATAGTATATTTTGGTGGTTGTTTCTGGTTCTTTAGCTCATAAGGTGGAAGCGGCTTACTTGGTGAAAACTGAAAGTTTCTGTGCCCTTTATTGATGACCGCTGTAGACGGCTTACTGATTCCTGGCGTATATGACTGTTGTTGACATCTACTGGTAGGAGTCAACTTATAAAGAAGACTACTTTTAGTGGGTATATTGCTGTATGATGTATATTGATTACTATTATTTTGAGCAGAGAAGTACTGACTAGCAGTAGAGAAATCCTTTGGATGGTTAACTATGTTGTCCAAGTCATCTTCTATCTGGTCATAGTCGACGTCATCTACTGTATATTCATCACATATTGGTACTTCTACAAAATGAGATAAGATGAACAACAAACTTTATGTGTACATGTAAGTTAATCCTAATAGAGATTTGCCTGAAAGCACTACAGATTACATACCGGTAATGGTTGGATATATAAATATCATTTGTTTTTGAGAGGAACTGTTTGATAAAAACCTGCCAATATGCACACACAAGGAATCAAATATAGAATCGTATTAGAAGTGCATGTTAGATTTAGATATGAACAATGACTATCTACAAAATGTACATGCTATGTATGATGTGTTAATATGAGGTTATTACGAGGATACTGAAATGTATGCATGAAGACAGTACAGCGGAAGTATTGACTGATGTGCAGCAGAGGTCGATGCGGCTGAGGTCAATGCGACGGCATTGTCAGAGTGCAAACTTTGTGGTATCCTCGTAATAACCTTATTATATATCTTTTCTTTCCAAGGACACATCTTGGAAATGCTGAAATCCAAAAAGTTTAGAACAGATTTAGCAAACTTCTTTGTGTGGCGTCCGGTCAAACCATGGGGACTGTCATGTTTGTTTTTATTATTTGAGGATGCTTACGTGTGTAATCGTTCCATATGAGGAATTTGCATTTCCTATTAAAGATGGTACATGTAGGATGAAAATACCCAGTGCAATACCGCAATAATAATAATAATCTATATTCAGGCTTGTGAAAAATATATGCTGATTGAGTATTGAGTAAGTATTGAGTTTTTGAATGAAACAAGCCACGATTGAAGAAACGTAACACCACACCATTGTAGAATCTGGCTAATTTTAAGCTATACCCTTGAATTGCCTAATTATTGAAAGAACAATTCTACTATAATACTGTTACTGGATGAGCACAGTGTGGACTTTACATTTTATTCATAACAGTAAGATAATTGATAACAGAACACATGGCTGCAATTGAACTGAAAATCCTATATCTGCACATTTGTACATATCATTATCTAGAGCCTTATCTTGATTGTTCCGAACTTTGGTTCTAATATTTTCTTCATATGTAGGTAAATCCTGCTGAACTAATACAAAATAAATCACAGTTTTTTCACAGTAACTATGTAAATTAAAAACAGTAAAAGATGTAGATAGATTATAATTAAATGTTGGGAGAGTACTTGACATGTTAACTACAAAAGGTGTATTTAAAATATTTTCGTTGGTCAAAATAGCAGCTAAGTGTCATATATCTACATTATGACAAACTGCCAAATTAAGCTTGGTGTGTTTATAATGCAAACAGGTGTGTATTAATAAAACATCTGATTCTGTACTACCTTGTAATTGCCTTTTAACTAATCTGTTATTTTAATTTTTTGATTATCCTCTTTACTTTTTTTTTTATTTCACTTGACTATGTTTATCTTCTATAGAAAGAATAATGTCAATAAAGTTATCGTATCTTATATCAAGAATGACAAGAACTGAATGCTGAGATCGATGTGGATTAAAACATTGTGAATAAGAAAAGAATGACACAAAATCGGTCAAATTTTTTTTATTACCACCTGTTGAACAAAGATCATGAAAGCAAAACAAAAAACAAATTATCATGCATATGTACACCATTTTGTTTGTACCACCTTTAAACAAAATTAATCACAGTACCAGTACATCAAAGGAATAGGATATATTTAAATTAATGAGCAATTGCAATTTTACTGTGGACAACCAGATTTTCCAAGTGGTTGCCCAGGTATTTTTTTTTAATTTCAACTTCTGTATAGACCAATATAGCAATAAATATGTTAAATTTATTTTGTGTAAACTACAAAAGAAAAAAGAACATCACACATACCATCAAGGAGAGTGTTTTTCAGGATCTCTATGTCATCATTATCTTCCCAATCACTGTCATTGCATCCTAAATACTGCAAGTATTCTTTGTTATTATAATAGCTGTTGGACAAGTAGGAATCCTGCTCAGGCTTGTCTGGGCTTACCTGTATAAACAATAAATGACATTTTAAGAGTTCATGAACACTTTGTAAGAGTGATATCTAAGTCTGTAACACTGTCCCAACTTAACAAGCCAACTTACATAGCTACATTGTAAATATGATATTAGATATAAAAATGGAAAAATAAAATATTATGACCCCTAAATCTTATCACATTTTTCAAAATAAAAAGTAAAAGTATCTTGTTAAATATAAATCTGAATCATTTGTAATGCATCAATTCCACTACTATCACTTTCGGTCAAGTGCCTCATCGTATGTTTATTCCTGTTGTCCAGGACAGTTTACTGGTGTGTCTGGACACTTTCTTTGTTAGAAACGGTATGGTTTAATGTGGCCTCAGATTTTTTCTACCTGTTAATCTGGTAAGCATCCTTCATGCCTCTTAATTATTTCTTAGTAACCTACACCAGTGGTGCCCTCTAAGCTAATAGGACTGATTTTATAGGGATCCTAAGTCAAAGATGATATGCCCCAAAATCAAGTGAGTCAACTTGTTGACTGCTGGAGAGGCTGGTCGTAAAGGCAAGGACTTGAGACACAAAAGAAAACGCTGCTGCCCTGATTTCTTTTGTTTTGACACTTAATTTGCTTACAGTATGTCAATTTTATTTCACCAACTTACAAATTCCAAACTAGAGCAGCATATCTTTTGATATCACTGTACAATTTTGTGTTAGATAAATGAAGTGCCAGTGAATTTGTTTGCATCATTGGCATGTCATATCAGCTTAGAGGGCACTCTAACCCACACTTAGTTTCTTTGTCCAGAGACTTGTAAACCAACATTCATTTTTTCGACCAAATTTTGCAATAAAGCCAATGTGCAGGTGGTCTGTAAATTGATGTGGATCATGAGTCAGCTGTCGTTGCTATGTCTAACGTGTTTATAACTAACTCTATAAACCTACTCTGAAGTATTTGATTACATAAGTAATCAAAAAATAGTATTTACCTTCTCTAACTTAAGTCTCTTTAAAGGAGGAGCATTTGGTATTTGCTGTACTTTAGAATGTAACTGACTAATATGACCCTGTACATGAGAGCCTTTGCATGGTTCAACTGCAACCATTGGCTTTAGGCTTCTATTTATTCTATTTGACTTCACGCCATATTTACAACATTCATGTCCACAAACATCTTTATTAATGCAGCGATGGCTGCAGGGTATTCTTCCTGTCTGTTCGTCTTGACTTTTTGGTCTAGTGGCAGAAGATATGTCTGAAATTGAAGAAGTAATTATAATACCAGGTAATCTGTGTTTGCCTGCATGTAACACTTGACCATACGTTGTATATACCGGTAATAATAATATGGTGTTAAGAATTAAAGATTAGAAATATATGTACCTCATTTCTGTACCTGGTAATGAAAAATATGATCATATGAAATGAGACAAAGCTTAGTCAGTAAAAAGCCAGAATACTCAAGTGGTAAAGAATGTAAGAAAACATGCCCGGTAGTAATTATTTGAGACTCCATGCAATGGTTGCGATTGATTGATTATTTTAAGGTGAAGATTCAGTGTGCATGTTGAAACGTTATAGTAGATCTTAAAGTGCTACAGTTGTTTGTGTAAATAAACAATATATTTTACACACATGTTGTATACGTCGCCATGGGTCCCATATCAACAGATCAAAGTTTAATGACTGGAGCACTTTCAAATATTGTCTTACACAAAACACACCAATAAGTCACACACAATAATACAGTTTTGATATCTCAAATGGATAAACTATATTTCTGGATTAGATGTCAACAAGGCATTCCATAAATAGTTAGTCTAATTTCTAGACAATCAGTTCAACAAACAAATCAATTTCTCAATGCACCAAGAAATGATATAAAATTAATTACCTTTCTTCAGGAGTTTCTCTTGTTTACAATCAACACCTTTCATATACTGGCCAAGATACACAGGTTTAAATGTTTTCTGGACATCAAGACCAACTTCAAAAATAAAAGCAGAATAGTTAGGTATAACAAAAATTACGATATCAACAATAATGAATCCTCGGGGGCGGACATCCAGGCATTTTCTACCGCCTGGCAACCCTCGCGGTGAAAACAGAGACCAAAAACTCGCAGAAAACGGTACTTTGCGATGGTTGTTGAGAATCCCCTGAACAGTGTAACAAGATTAGCCCTACGTGTGTTACATATATGAATTTGGTTGTTCAGGATTACTTCAAAGTTGAGTTTGTGTTGTTTTCTCGAGTTTTCACCGGCTCCACCGGCGTTCCACAGCAGCGCGCACAAAGCCCATAGAAATACATGGTACAGTGATGCGCATCTTGGCAACGTAGAACGTCTGTGACGTAGCTCCGCCCCGAGGATACATATAGAAACATTGTTAATTACTGCTAATTACTACATGTACAAGGATTTTTCCATTATCTTATTTTAATTTTAGACAATATATATCTGTTCACTTTTATGAACCAGAAATAAATATATTTTCTAGATGCTGATACAAATGAACAATTATATCACATAAACTCAATGGCATCATATAATTTCTTTTGAAACTGTTCTAGAAGAACCATTAACATTTTACCTAAATCTTGGCTTATGAGATGGACAAATATTTCTTCCCCCTTCTTTGCTCTTTGAACTTCAATTCTCTTAGACCATGTACCATTTTTGCACAGAATGGTATCCCTGGAGACAATGAATATGATTTATACTTTCATTTCAAGTTGTATGAAATTCTTAGTATATTCCATAGAAATTTGAGTTCAAATATACAAGGAATTTATTTTTCTAAAAATGATCAAAATCAATGTTTCGTTATTGTTATTGTGAGTAAATCATATGTAGTGTTTAAAGGGCGGTAGTCGTCGCGTCACGCATGCGCGAGATATATGGGTCTCATATAAACAAAGATGGTGACTTTGACTGTCGGGCAGATCAACGAGTACAAACTGAGATGTTATCATGCTTTAATAGATAATTTTTAGGTGATTGGAAGGTATCGAGAGAGGCATCGGCGGTAATTAGTGCAAGTCGTGCCCAGGTCAAACCTCATACTAATTTCCATTAAAAGAGCGCATTGGATTCTGGGAAAATCAACGTTTATCAACAGAAATGTCGCATATGTGCACCGCAATGACCATTGAGTATTGAATCAATTCTGGCATTATGCAAGCCCTGATGTATGATGTATTATATTCTCACAATCCAACCAAATATAGATTCAGAATACTTGAATTTGTCCTTCAGACATTTTAACATATATAGTAACAGTTGCTAGTCTGACATTCTATGCTGATGTGTACAAACCAGTTGTGAATTGTCAAATAATAAAAAAATATGTGTCTTTTTCCAGTGATACCCATGTCTAGGTAAAAGTTGCTTTTTTGTGCTCAAAGATGTGTTGCTGTGTATACATGATAGGGAAATTATGAACGAAGAGCGACAACTGTCTAATGGTGGCACTAAGGCCTTGATCATTAACCTTTTCACCACCAGTTCCCTCTTTTCATCACAAAATAGTTTATAGTCTGCACTTTTCTTCAGAAAATTTAGACAAAAATAGCCACATTTTTTGAATAACAACTGATTGAAAATTTACAAAAAGTTTGTCTGTTGGCTCCAAAATTAGGGTTCATTTCCAGAAATATTGAAGAATATAAGGAAAACATGCAGAATAATTTGGGCGAGAGTGTCTGATCTAATGCACCTTGTGTGATGCTAATGGTCAGAATGAGTAAACTAGCTACAGTACAGTCCAGGCAAAACTTAACTTCAATAATTTCAATTATTCTTTTTAGTGATTTACCCACATGTATGTTACTATTAAATATGAAATATATTCCATAGAATTTAGATGTGGCTGTTTTGAAAGCATGCTAAGCTAGTTTTAAGCTAGCTTAAAAAATAGCTATAAACAGCGTCCAGATTACCTTCGGAAATTCCGTCGCGTTTTGGAAAGTTTTAATTTTCACAACTTTTGAATATTTATTTGTGCTTTTAGGTTAGTGAGGAGGTTATAATAATTTTTCATTTCACTTTAACTCTGTTTTTTTCACCCCTCAGACCCCTTCAAAAAGTCACTTCTGGCCATTGTAATGGCCACTATTTTTTTAATGGCCAGATTATCAACCAGAACTTTTTTAATGGTCAAAATATTGACCAGTATTTTCAAACTGGTAGTTATAATGACCACTACTTTTACGCTGGTCAGAATAATAGTATTTTTGACTCCCATGTGCGAAGCACAAAATGGGAGTCTTTGCAGTTAGT